GAAGATTAGCCCTGAGCTAACATCCACAGCTAATCCTCCTCTTTTTGCTGAGGAAGATTGGCCCTGAGCTAATATCTGTGCCATCTTCCTCTATTTTATATGTGGGATGCCTGCCACAGCACGGCTTGATAAGCGGTGCATAGGTCTGCACCTGGGATCCAAATAGGTGAACCTAGGGCCACCGAAGCAGAACTGGCAAACTGAACTGCTGCGCCACGGGGCCACCCTGTAACATATTCTTGAGGGCTAGAATCTTGAGATTGGCATGAAGGGATAGTCCTGAGAGCGACTACAGGTGGTGCTACCTAAATATCCTCTAATGCAATCTTTGAGAAAACTTGTCCTGTAGGAAGTCACTACAGGGAAAGGCCACACAAGAGAAAGAACAGACTAACTTTGTGGGAACTGTTCTGACCCCTTAAGATTTTCCTGGAAGAGTTGTACTTACTAACTTGGGGTGAAAGTCTGTCCTCGACCCAGTTACTCCAGTGGTGACATCTGGAGCAAAAAAGAGAAAAAAAAATAACAAAGATAATACCAGAACTTTTTCCTTTGGCCAATCATATTTATTGAGGGCCTATTATATGCCAGACACTGGACAGGGACTGAAGGTGGCAGAACTGCCACTTTCGGCTGCTGAGAGGGGCAGGAACAAAAAGCCAGTGACCATACAGCAAGAACATTTTGAAGACTGCAGAGGCAAAGCATAATCAGAGCCAAGGGTGCAAGGGAGGATAAGGAAGGCTTTAGAGAAGCAGTAATTCCACGGAGAGTGGTGCCACTGTGAGCCTTGAGTGTGCCCGTGCGGCCCGGGGAAATGGGAGACACCAAGGTAATGACAAAGCAGTGTGGCGAGTGCTATCAATCGAGGCAGGAACAGGGTGGATGCACAGAGAAGTTTCTTCCTCATCCTTGGAGAAAAGGTAGCAAGAAAGGTACAAGCTCTGCATTTAGCAGCGATCGCTCCTGGTGGCCACGTGGGCCCAGGACAGGCGGGACCCGCTGGGGCAGAACGGAGCAGGTGCCGTGTTGCTCCGTGGGATGGACTGATGGCTCCCAGAGATCCTCAGGTGGATCCAAACCGACCGCTTTAGACGCTTACTGGAATTGCTCTCGGTCATCCAGAAAAGAAGGACTCACGGGCAAAGCGTAGAGATTTAAAGAGGAAACTGTGTACAGATAAATGTGGTCTAAAAAGTGTTTAACTCCTGGGTCTCTGCCACCACCTTTCAATTATCTGAAAAGGAATCTTTTAATTACAATTCTTTGGAGTCCTCAGAGCCTTCCGGAATAATCACATCTCGTGGTTGGAACCAGGGGCCTTTCCTTGGGGTAAAAGTGTAATTTAAAGCCCCAGGAACAGGAAAGGGAGCTAGGACAGCTCGGGCACATCCAGCCTGGGCCCGTGGCTGCGCCACTCTGGTGCTGGCGTGTGGGCCCAAAGAGTTGCAGTGGGGAACCCACCAGCTCCCCCACAAAGGAGACTATGGGTGAATCAGTAAAAGGCAACACCAGCTAGCTGGCAGTTCTGGTGTAAATAACACTTAAAACACTGTACTAAGAGCCTCAAAGCAGAAGTAAATGAAAGTCGTTTATCTGAAAATCTGAAAACAACTGTGGGAAAACAGGCAAAGTGGAATGGTAACTCCAGCAAAATTTGCAACAAAAAGAAAAGAAAAGAAAAAAGAAAGAGTCTGAAGCTAACTTTGGAAACATATGTAAAATAAGTAAAACTCCCATCTGTGTCACTAGAATAATGTTTATCATAGATAAACAACAGCGCCACCTACAAAAAACACTTAACAGGACAGCTTCAGACTAATCCTGTAGGATGCTCGGCACAGCGTGGAGTGGCAGCTCGCGCTTCCGGTGCTCTGTGTGGTGGAACTCAGATCACTCAGGGCTGAGGAGGATCACGTGGGAGTGCCCAGAAAGAAAACGCTGAAAGTGGAAATTGGGCAGAGTTGGAGTTTTTACAGGATGAGCACTTTCCAGTGTTCTCAAAACTTAACCAAGGAATGTATTAGATGGCTCTTTTTGACCTTTAATTTTTCTCACCCTCACTGACCACACCCCTGCCCTGACATTAGTACCATTTCCTATAATTGTATGGTCACTTCCCTTTTTGAGATTTTTCACCTGTATTGTAGTAACGTGCAGCTCTCCCAAGCAGAAATAAAAAGTATTAAGAATTCCATGTGGAGGTTCTTTTCCTGGTTTTGCTCACCCTGAGACTTTAGGTTTTTAACCATGATTGTTGGGGTAGGGTCTGGAGCGTCCAGATATTTACATCTACTAATTACAGCAGTATTGTTTTTTTAAAAACTCAAGATTTTAAGTAGACAACAAAAGTATTAGTTAAAAATGGTTACGCTCACACTGTGTAATAAGAATTACGTCTAAATGACATACGATTATAAATGATACACAGCAGCTTCTGAAGTCAATTTCTAATTTCTCCAAAGAAACCAGAGATAGTTAGACTGAGGCCTCCCCCTGGCGCTCACATTGTTCCCAAGTGCTCTGGTTTAAAGAACGACTGATGAGAAAGTTCTAGGCCGCATCGCTTCAGTGGGGTACAGGAGTGGAAGACAAAGGGTACACACAATCTTCCAAAGCCTGATAGAAAAGCAAAAAATGCATAAGATTAACAAAGTAAATTGTGAAGTCAGTGCAAGATTCTACTCATTTTTGCACAGTGAAACTGCAACTTTTTCTTCAAGATACACTACGAAGACCCAGGAAGGACCCAAAGCGACACCATGTTGATAACTCCCAATTATCGACAGTCTTCTCCTTCGCCAGTTTTGTTTCATTTTTTTCATGATAGATTGTGCATTACCTCCCCAAGCCAAAGACCATAGCCTGAAAGAAAATCCAAATTATCTTAAGTAAAACAAGTCTAGGGGGCTGGCCCCATGGCATAGTGGTTAACTTTGGCGTGCTCTACTTCTGTGGCCCAGGTTCTTGGGTTCAGATCCCAGGTTCAGACAGACCTTCACCAGTCGTCAGCCATGCTGTGGCAGCATTCCACGTACAAAGTCGAGGAAGATTGGCACAGATGTTAGCTCAGGGCGAATCTTCCTCGGCAAAAAAGAAAAAAAAATGCAAGTCTAAAGTCACAGCAAGGAAATGAGGCTGTGCTGAGTAACAGGATAAGAAGCTAGGTGAGGTGAATCACAGGGCAAGAGCCAGGAGAATCGAAGTCAAAGCAGAATGCTAAGGACGACAGATGAGCACATGTAGCAGACAACAAAGTTGAGGATACCATGAGGATTTGGGAGGCCTGTTCTTATGTCAACCTGTTACATGATACGGGGATGGGTTCAACAGCTTTAAGAAGTTGAGTGGTTGGGTCGGCCCGGTGGCACAGCGGTTAAGTTGGCGCATTCCGCTTTGGCGGCCCGGGCTTCCCGGGTTGGGATCCCAGATGTGGACATGGCATCGTTTGGCAAGCCATGCTGTGGCAGGCATCCCACATATAAAGTAGAGGAAGATGGGCACAGATGTTAGCTCAGAGCCAGTCTTCCTCAAAAAATAAATTAATTAATTAAATAATAATAATAATAATAAAGAAGTTGAGGGGGACTAGGACAGACAAATAGAACATGGGACAGAACAGAGAACCTGAAAGCAGGCCCACACATGTTAGTTTAGTTCCTCTAGAAGCAGGCTCTGAGACAAGAAATGGAGTGCAAGCGGTTGATTTGGGAGACATGAGGAATTGAGATAGGCAGAGAGGCAGTCTGTAAAGGGTGCACAGCTAAACCAGCTACAACAGTGGGCTACGGAACTACCTCCCACAAGGAAACCCTGGGAAAAGGTCCAATCAGGACTCAGAATTATCTCACCCAAGGAGGGAGGGAGTGAACTGGGTCGTTCGTAAGCCAAGCCCTTTCAGACTGTGGTTGGGAACTGCTCCCACTAATTCTCCAGAACTTTCAGGCTTCTGTAGTTCTGCAAAAGTCCTCAGGCACAGAGATAAAATGATGGCAATTGGAAGTCATCGGGAGCATGCTGAAAAGGTATGCCACGTGTGTGGTATATCTGGTACACGAAAGAGGTAACCCTACTGATGAATGAGGAAGAAACAGACTACTCAATAAACGATGTTGGGACAAACAACTATCCATGTGGCAAAAGATAAAAGTAGCTCCCTAACTCACACCATACACAAAAATAGAGTTCACATGGATTAAAGACCTAGATGTAAAAGAACGAAGAAATATGTAAAAACCATGGGCAAATATTTTTATGACATCTGGATGTGAAACGATTTCTTAAGATGTGAAAATCACAAATCATAAAGGAAATATATATATATATAAATTTTACTTTCTTAAAAATTAAAACATCTGGATCATAAAGGAACCATAAACAGCATGAAAAGCCAACCTAAAGATTTACAGACATTATTAACATCCAACAAATGTGATAAAGGATTAATTATCTAGAATATACAAACTTAACCCTTTCAATCAGTAAGGGAAAGACAGCATGGTTGATAAATGAGCAAAAGATACAAACAGGATTCACAGAGAAAGAAACCAGTGTCAGTATGAAATCATATGAAAAAATGTTCAATCAATAAAATTCAGGGAAATGCAAATTAAAACAATAAGATGATATGTCACACCCATCAGATGGGCCAAACTTATGTCTGACAACACCAGTGCTAGCAAGGATGTGGAGAAGCGGGAACTTCTTGCATGGTTGATGGGAGAGTGAACGGAAATGATCCCTTGGGAAAGCAATTTTGCAATAGCAGGGTAAAGATGGGCAAGCTCTATAACCAAGCAATTCCACTTCTAAGGGTACACCCTAGAAAAATTCATACATGTAAGCCAGGAGACAGCTAAAAGGATGTCCACAGCTGTTTGTAATAGAGGAAGAAAAAAGAAAAGAAAAGGGAAAGAAAAAATAAAGGGAGAGAGAGGGAGGGAGGGAGGATGAGAAGAAGAATCTAAAAGTTCCTGCGTAGGAGGAATATAGAGCCTGACCTGGTGGTCCAGTGGGTGAGATTCCTGTTCTCACTGCTTCAGCCCAGGGGGCGCAAAAGACCAGGCACAGTTCTTCTCTGCTGTACAGGGGGTCGCTAGGAGTCGGAGTCGACTCAACAGTACTAACAAAAGGAGGAACATGTAAACAGACTATGCTTAATTGTATATGAACTACTGTCCAGCAGTTAAACTGACTGAGATGCATATATGCATACAAACATGGTTAAATCTCAAAAGCATACTGTTGAGTGGGGGTAAAAGGTAATTTCCAATGACTACTGAGATTACACCATCTATTTTATGTTTTTAAACAAACTAAGCATGCTGTAATTGTTCGTGGATACAAAAGAGCCAAAATGTGTGAGGGAATCTTGGAGACCCCTGGGAAGGGCTGGAGAGGGGAGACTCCAAGGGGGAAGAGAGCTGTTCAGGAATGTTTTAATGCTTCTTAAGAAGACCTAAACAAATACGCAAAATCTTCACCTACAGTTAACATCAGTGGTGAGTATGTAAGTGCCTGTTACATCATTTTTGTACTCTTAGAGATGTTTGAAATATTTCATAATTTAAAATATTGAAAATAAAGTATCACTAAGTCAGAAGAAGTGGCTTTGGAGCATGGAGAAGAGTTACCCTAGACATCCCCTCCCTGGGGATTTCCCTGCACCCAGCTAGTCCCACGCTCGAGGACATCAGCGAAACCTGCAATGGTCCCTGATGTGCATCTCCTGAACTTTGTCATGGATCTTTCTTTTTCCCCAAATGTGATCAAGCTGAATCAGGTTGATTTGCTAAGCTCAGGACTAGCCAACCTTGTGACTTAGAATAACATTTCATTAATAAATAGTCAAATGATAGTAGCTAATATAACTCTTCTCAGAAATTATTTCATTTATATTTATTTATATATAATCATATATTATATAACATTTTATCATTGCATTTAAAAACTATATTTATACTGTAATCGTATTTATATTTTTGTATATTATTTTATTATATTATTGTATTTTATTATATGTATTATATTATTTTATGTTTTATAATTTCATGTATAGAATTATGCACTTATTATTATTGTAATGATTCTCACCCCTATTTTACAGATAAGTAGACTGATGCCAGGGGGTTACAGAGCTTGGTCAGGTCCCCGTGGGTACTAGGGAGCAGAGCTGAATTTAAAGTCTGTCTTTCTCTGAAGCCAGTGTCCTCTTCGTTGCACCAAACTGCTCTATAGGACAGAGCATTCGCAAAGATCACAGTTCTAACCTGAGGCCTCAAGTTTTTATCATTTTGTGTCTTTGATTTTGAGAGTGTGTATTGGAGGGGAAATAAAGAAAGAATTCTCTAGAAAGAGATGAAGAGACCACAGGGGTGTGTCTCAGTTTGGCTGAGGGCAGCGTTGGTAACGGCATCTTGATCAGCCGGCGCATCCTCTTACGCAGCAGGCGGAGTGGCTGCTGGGTTTCCTCTAGGCCCAGGGGCTGGAGCTGCCCAGACCCTCCGTATAGGGAAAGTCAGATTCGGAACACAGGACCTGACGACCAGGAGTGCTGACACTGTCCGTTCCGGCCTTAATCCTCCGCCTTCCTCCCGCGTCACCCCGTTTTGTTCCCCTAACAGTGCAGGGCTTCTCTGAGCTCAGAGACAGCGGAGACGGCGCCGTGGGAGTCAGCATCAGGCCCACCTAGCTGTGCCATGGCCCCACCTCCCACCCAAACCTGCAAGCTGCCCAGTTGGTGAGGGAGCCCCTGCCTGGTGCCCAGGGGCCAGCCGCCCACGGTATTGGGGCTCCTCATCTGCTCAGGAGCCGACGCTTGGGAGAGAAACTCTGTGTTTTCATCTCAGTTCCTTTTCCTACTTACAGGTTCCATGACTTCGACAGGTTACTTCACTTTTCTGAGCCTCAGTTTCTTCGCTTCGGCAGAGATAATAATAGTAGTTATTTCATAGAGTTGTTGTGAGGAGTAAGGAGAGAAGGGATGAAAAGTGCATATTAGTGAATTGCCTGCCACTGAGGGACTCGTTAAGTATCGGCTATTATTAAACATTAGCTATTGTGAATATGGCCCTTCCCTTCTTGTTGCCCTCAGGCTTCTGAATATTCCCTTCTCCTGGACGCCCCACGGCCCTGTTCTGTCCACCTTATATTGTGTAAGAGCCTTCAGGATGCGTTCTGTCTCCACACTTTCAATGGCTGCCCTATTTCTGCAGTAGGATTTTCTCCCAAAGCCCATAGCTGCTTATGTCCTCTCAGTGCCTGCAGTACCCCAGAGGGCAAAGACAGGACCAAATATTGGATTCTGGATTCTCCTAGTCATCGCCCCCCTGCTTAGACAGATATCCAGCTAGACCTTGCCCCAAGATATGACAGAAATGACAACCAGGTTGTTGGTGTTCTGTGAATAATGTTTGGTTGCCTCAGGGAAGCAAAGTTGGTGACATAAGGAGGTGTGGCAGAAACCATGCCCTCAAGTTTTAGACACATCATGGACTTGGTCACTTCACTGCAAAGGAAGGAGAGCACTGGGGCTTCTCAACCTTGGCACTATTGACACTGGGCTGGCTACTTCTTTGCTGTGGGGGCTGTCCTGTACCTTGTAGGGTATTTAGCAATATCCCTGGCCTCTGCCTACTAGAAGCCAATAGCATCTTTCTCCCCTCCTCTCTGCTCCCCACCTCACAACAACCAAATGTCCCCTGGGTGTGCCAAATCACTCCCAGTGGAGAAACCCACACATGTTCAACAGAAAGAGGATAGACCTGGTTATGGGTGAAAATGAAAGTCGCCTAAACAACTCCATTTCTGGGATATTCCAGGATCCCCAGGGTAAAAATTACTTCCCATTTGTTATGGTCAGGGTTCCCAAGAAATACTACCCATCCACAGTGGTGTTTTCTTAATTAGCAAGTTGCTGAAATAATGCACTAGGGTTTACTGGGTGCCACATCAATGATGCTATGAATCTTGTCCAGGACAAGAATTCATTTTCATTAGTATGAGTACACTGGCTGATTTAGAAATAGCTGACATCAAAATTCCATGATCCCAGAGGACTTTTATTTTGTTTATGCTTACTTGTGCTTTCCATCTTTTCTACACTAAACATGTTTTATTTGTATAAATTTATTATTTATAAGGGCTTTCATCATAAAATTTTGATTTATAGAAATTAGGGAAAGAGACTGAGAAAGGGGAGTAAATAATTTCACCTTTGAGCTTCAGATTTCTCACTTGTAACATGAATTGTCTGCATTATCTGTGAGAAAGATGGGTAAGCAAAAAGACACAGAGGAGAAAAAAGTGTTAAAAACATCAAAATAAAGGGAATTCAAGCATTTCTTTCATTGTAGGAAAGAAACAGAGCATTATGCTGTATAGATTGTGTAACAGACACACCCTAGCGTGACCCCTAATGAGTCACATTCCTTGTGTAAACCCCTGTCCTTAAGTGCAGACATTTGACTTGCTTTTAACCAGTGGAACATGGCAAAGGTGGATGGGATGGCCCTCCTTTGAGTGGATTGCATTATGTGGCAAAGATGATAGGATGTTACCTCCTAGAGTAAGTTATGCTCTTGGCAAATACAATAGGATAGTATTCTCGTGAGTATATTATGTTATATAAGACTCTTAGTAGATGAGAGAGAGTTTTTGCTGGCCTCAAAGAAGCAAACAGCCCTGTTGTAAGCGGCCTGTGGCGAGAACCACATGGCAGGGAAATGCAGGCAGTCTCTGGTAGCTGAGACCCTCAGTTCTACAACTATGAGGAACCGAATTCTGCTGACAACCATGTGATCTTGAAAGAGAACACCAAACTGCAGATGAGAACACAGCCTGGCCAACACCCTGAGCAGAAGACCCAGTTAAGCCACGCCCAGATTCCTGACCCGCAGAAACTGAGTTGATAAACATATGTTCTTTTAAGCTGCTATATTTGTGGCAATTTTTAACACAGCAGGACAAAAGTAATATAGATAGAACTTCACATTTAGAATGCATCAGCAAAAAAATTGGTGGATAAAAATCTCAAGAAAAAAGTAAAATAAGAATTCTGGGTTAACATGGGAGATTGGACATATCATTTCAGTCTTTCTAAAATCTCAGTAAATTAATAGTGAAGAAGAGTTTTTAAATTCCCACAAGGATGGGGACAACAGGCATGGCTCACTGAAAGGGGCTGATTCTTCATGACGCTCTGTTATCTGTGTTTTTATTATGCAACTCCTCACACTAGAGGGAGAGTGAATTTCTTACTCCTTCACATACTCAGCAAAAATATCCTTAAAAAATAACAGCAAAATACATAAATTGAGATAATTCATCACGAGGTAGCCTGCACTAAAAAGAAACACTAAAAGGACTTCTTTAGGCAGAAGGAAAATGATCCCAGATATAAGTGCAAAAATGAGGGAAAGAATGAAGAGCACTAGAAAGGGCATATATTTAAAATATATGTGAATATTGACCATACAAAACAATAGTGGTTATGTCTTGTGAAGTTTTAAATATATCTCGAATTAAAATTCAAGAGAACAAAAAGGAAGAGGGGGAATAAATGGAGACAAACCATTCTAAAGTCCCAGCTTTAACAGGGAAGTAGTAAAAGAATTTGACTGTGATTGGTCATAGATGATTATTATTACCTCTGGGATAGGTACTAAAAGAAGATGTTTAACTAACAAATTGAACTTTTTTTTTCTCCTGAGGAAGATTAGCCCTGAGGTAACTACTTCCAGTCCTCCTCTTTTTTGCTGAGGAAGCCTGGCTCTGAGCTAACATCTGTGCCCATCTTCCTCTACTTTATATGTGGGACGCCTACCACAGCATGGCATGCCAAGCGGTGCCATGTCTGCACCTGGGATCCGAACTGGCGAACCCCGGGCCACCGAGAAGCGGAAGGTGTGAACTTAACCACTGAACCACTGGGCTGGCCCCCAAATTGAACTTTTTAATAGAGTAATAAAAAAAAGATTAATCCAAAAGAAAGCAAGGGAAAAAGGAGTTCAAAATAGGTGGGTCAAATAGAAAACAAATAGTATGTGGCAAATAGAAGCCCAAATATATCTCCATTAAACTTCAATTAATAGACTAAGATAATCAGACTGCATAAAAAGCAAAAAACAAACAAAACATAGCTACATACTATTTTCAAGAGAGCCCCGTAGCTATTCTATAATCAAGCAAAGTAGATTTTATGACAAGAAGGACCACAAGAGATGAAGAGGGTCACAACACCATGATGAAGTGATCATGCCACTAGGAAGATATCACAATTCTAAATCCATATGCATCTAATAACATTGCTTCAAAATACATAAAGCAGAGATTGACAAAACTAAGAAGAAATAGACAAATGTACCATCATAGTAGGAGATTTTAACACACCTCTCTCAATAACTAATAGAACATGAAAGACAAAAATAAAAATCAGTAAAAATATAGATACTTTGAACAACACAAATAATTAACTTGCCCTAATTGGCATAGCTAGAACACTGTACCCACCAATTATAGAATATAATGAAAATGAAAACTTCAGAAAATCCATCAGTGAAATCTTCTAGACTGTTTAGGACGAAATATTGCCAATCATATGCAAATTCTAGGAGAGAATAGAAGAAGAGGAAACACTTCTCAAGTCGTTCTACTAATACACCATAATCTTGATATCAAAATCTGACAAGGACATAGAAAGTAAAATTACAGGCCAAACTCTCTCATGAACACAGATTAAAATTCCTCAATAAAACATTAGCAAAATGAATCTAGTGACATATAAAAAGAATAATACATCACAAGCTAGTAGGTTTTATTCCAGGAAGGTAATGTTGGCTTAACATTTGAAAATTAATATAATTGAGCACATTAACAGAGTAAGATAGAAAAATCATATGATCATCCCAATAAATGACGAAAAAACATGATAAAATTCAATGCCCACTTAAGATTAAAAATAAGTCCTAGTGGGGCTGGCCCAGTGGCGCAGCAGTTAAGTTCTTACGTTCCGCTTCTTGGCGGCCTGGGGTTCACTGATTTGGATCCCCGGTGTGGTCATGGCACCGCTTGGCACGCCCTGCTATGGTAGGAGTCCCACATGGAAAGTGGAAGAGGATGGGCACGAATGTTAGCTCTGGGCCGGGCTTCCTCAGCAAAAAGAGGAGGATTGGCAGTAGTTAGCTCAGGGCTAATCTTCCTAAACAAATAAGTCCTAGCAAACTAGGAAAGAAAGTAATTTCCTTAATATAGTATAGAAAATTTAGAAAATACTACAGCAAACATCATGTTTAATTGTAAAATGTTGACTTCTCACCTCCCCCATCCTGAGAGAAAGAATGAGACAAAGACGTCAGCTATCACCACTTTTGTTCAACGTTGTACTGAAGGTCTTAGCTTGCGAGAAGGTCTTGCAATAGGCAAGAAAGAAGGGGTGGAGGGTATAAGGTTGAAAAGGAAGAAATAAAACTCTCGTTACTTGCAGACAACAAGTTTGCATACGTACAAAATCCAAAAAGAAAACTTTACAGATAAATTATCAGAATAAAGAAGTAAATTTAGTAATGTTGGAAATAAGGCCCAATATGCAAAAATTAAGTTGATTTCTATATACTACCAAATAGATATTAGAAAATGACATTTTAATCTGAATAGACATTTTTCCAAAGAAGGTATACAGATGGGAAACAGGTACATGAAAATGTGCTCAACATCACTAATCATCCGGGAAATGCAAATCAAAACCACAATGAGGTATCATCTCACATCTGTCAGAATGTCTATCATTGGCCTAGAGGTTAAAGGTCACACTCTCACCACTTCAGTATTCTGGGTCCATTTCCCAGTCGTGGAACAATATCAACTTTCTGTCAGTTGCCATGCTGTGGCAATGGCTCACATAGAAGAACTAGAAGGTATACAACTATGTGCTGGGGCTTTGGGGAGAAAAAAAAAAAAGAATGGCTATCATCAAAAAGACAAGAAATAACAAGTGTTGGTGAGGATTTGGAGAAAAGGGAACCCTTGTGCGCTGTTGATGGTAATGTAAATTGGCACAGCCTCTACAGAAACAGTATGAGGTTTCCTCAAAAAGTAAAAATAGCACTGCCATATGATTCAGCAATTCCACTTGTAGTTATTTATCAGAAGAAAATGAAAACATTAACTTAAAAAGATATGTACACTCCTATGTTCATTGCAGCATTATTTACAATAGCCAAGATACAGAAACAACCTGTGTGTCCATTGATGGATGAATGGATAAAGAAATTGTGGTATATATATACAATGGAATATTATTTAGCCATAAAAAAGAAAAAATCTTGCCATTAGCAACAACAGGGATGGACCTTGAGGGCATTATGCTAAGTGAAATAAGTCAGACAGAGAAAGACAAATACCATATGATCTCATTTATATGTGGAATCTAAAAAAAGAAAACAAAAAGCAACCAAGCTCATAGATAGAAAGAACAGATCGGTGGTTGCCAGAGGTGGGAGGTGGGGGGTGGACGAAATGGATGAAGGGGGTCGAAAGTTATAGACTTCCACTTATAAAATGACTGAGTCCTGGGGGTGTCATGTACAGCATGGTGATTAGAGTTAATATTACTGTACTGCATATTTTAAAGTTGTTAAAAGAGATTTTGAAAGTTCTCATCACAAGGAAAAAGAATTTGTAACTGTGTGGTGATGGATGTTAACAAAACTTATTGGGTGATCATTTCACAATAAATACAAATATCAATCATTATGTTGTACCTCCAAAACTAATATAATGTTATGTGTCAGTTATACCTCAATTTTTAAAAAAAGAAAATGACGTTTTAGAAATACTATATAAATAGCATCAGAAAAAATAAATATGTAGAATAAATCTAAAAAAAGATTTATAAGACTTCTATGCAGAGAACTACAAAATATTTTAGAGACACAATTTTAAAAGCCTAAATAAATAGAGAAAACTTCCATGTTCATGGAATGAAAGAAAAATATTGTAAATACGTCATTAGCACCAAATTGAACTCGAATTCAATGAGATCCAAATCAAAATCTCAGCAGGATTTTGTTGTTTTGTTTTGGTTTGGGTTTGGTTTACTGTGGAAAGATAAGCTGATTCTAAATACATGTGGAAATGTAAGGGCCTATAATTACCAAGACAATCTTAAAAACAGAAGACACACACCAACGTATATCAAGGTCTATTATAAAACTACAATAATTAAAATAACATGATATTCTTGAAAGGCAAGACAAATAGACCGATGGGATAGTATAGAGTTCAGAAACAGATAGGGAAAGAATGGTCTTTTTAATAAATGGTGCTGGCACAATTGGCTATCTTTTATGGAAAAATAAATAAATCCTGGCCACTACTTCACACCATACACAAAAACTTAGTCCAGAAGGACTTTTGAAAATCTAAGTATGAAAGGTAACACAATAAAACTTCTTAACAAAACAGGAAAGTATCTTCATGACTCTTGAGTAGGCAAAGATTTCTTACACAGTACATTTTAAAAATCAACCCTAAAGGAAAAGATTGATGAATTGGAAAAGCTAAGAATTTCCTCACATTGAGAAAAAGCACGTCACCAAAAGAAAGAAAATATTAGAAACCATATATTTGATAAAAGATTCATATCTAGAATAAAATGATCTATTGCAAATCAATAAGAAAAGGACAGATAACCCAATAAAAAAAAATGGGCGATAACTCAAATAGGCACTCCATGAAAGAAAATATACAAATGACCCAAAGATATTTAACATCATTAAGTTAGTCATTAAGTATATGTAAATTAAAAACACAACGAAATACCAACACGCACCCATTAGAATGGCTCAAATTTAAAAATGGACAATATCAGGTAGGGCTGGGAATGTGGCACAACTGGAATTGCTGGTGAGAGCAGCAGTTGGTGCGTTCATTCTGGAAAACTCAGTGCCAAGTAAAGCTGAAAAAACATGCCAAGACAGACGAATCCCATTCCTACATATTTGCCCAATACAAATGCACACAAATTTACATTAAAAAACATGAACATTAATGTTGACAACAACATAACTTGTGCAACAAGAAAGAGGAAGGCATGACATCCAAGAAAGCAGGGATGCAACACAGGAAAAAGACCATGGGAATTCCAAGGAGAGCAAGGCAAACCCCAGGATCACAACTGCACAGCGGCCCCGAGGGCAGCCCACCTGGCAGAGGGGAGGGAGGTCTCTGCAGGATCCTTTGGAAGGAAAAATGGAACCAATCGATTATTTGATGTGAACTGCCTTGAGGAAAATAGCACCATGAGGCTATGAGATGTTGAGATGTAGGGGAAGAAGTGGTAATGAACGCAAAGAAAATTAAGCAAATAAAGACATAGGCAACTCTTATTTTCAGGGAAAAGAGAAGATATGATCATGGTACACTACAACTTGAAGCAGTGAAAATTATCTCTATGTGTATTCTTTTTTTTTTTTTTTGAGGAAGATTAGCCCTGAGCTAACTAATGCCAATCCTCCTCTTTTTGCTGAGGAAGACTGGCCCTGAGCTAACATCTGTGCCCATCTTCCTCAACTTTATACGCGGGACGCCTACCACAGCATGGCTTTTGCCAAGCGGTGCCACGTCCACACCTGGGATCCGAACTGGCAAACCCTAGGCCACTGAGAAGCTGAATGTGCGAACTTAACCGCTGTGCCACTGGGCTGGCCCCACTACGTGTATTCTCAATATTGTTTCTGCCAAATTAGAGGACTAGGTGG